AGCTGCCCTTCAGGTCTGGAATTGAACCCACACCTGTGGCTTCCAGCCAAACAAAAGGCAGGCATATGAGTTGAACATATACCTGAGGTAGATACATTCCTTGGAGAGAACAATCATGGGAGAAAGAAGGGCTGTTTATGCACAGGGAGACAGTTCAGTGGGCAGGAGTGCATGCAGTGATGGACATAGGGAAGAGGTAACTACTGGGATGAAGTGTGAGGGGAGCTGTTGCATTGGGTAAATTGTAGTCAATGTCATGAGACAATGTGTGTGTGAACTGCTGTATGGAAAATGAATTTGCTCTGTAAACTTTCACTGAAATCACAGTTAAAAAAAAAAAAGTTATCCATTTATCAAATTCAAGGTGTGATACCAAAACTAACACCCACTGCCATCATGTTGATTTTGCCTTATATTGATCCTATAGGACACAGTAGAACTATGCCATATAGTTTCCAAGGCTATAAATCGTTACAGAAGCCGAGTGCCACATCTTTCCCCTGCAGAGTGGCTAGTGGGTTCAAACCATGGACCTTTCAGTTGCCTTTACCATGTTACCACCAGGGCTCCTCAGATGTGGTACATGAGACTAAATGATGCCTAAATGGCTTCTTCTCAGTTTTTATTTTTTTTTAAGGTTTGATTACTGAAATGCCAGTTGTAAGATTAAGCAATCTTTCATTTTCTATATCCTTCCAGTTAATTATTGTCCAGGGCTCATTCTGCTTTTCAATGGAATTGAATGATGCTCCTAACCAAGAATTCCAATAATTGCTGTGGTTTGATTTATGTCCCCCCAAAATATGTGTTATAAATCCTAACCTCTCTGGTAGTATAGTGCCTAAGGCACTTGACTGCTAACCAGAAGGCTGGCAGTTCAAATCCACCAGCCATTCCTTAGAAGGAAGGTTGGGCAATCTACTTCCGTAGTGATACCGCCTCGGAAAGAAGGGTCGCTATGAGTCAGATCCGACTCAACAGCAGTGAGGTTTTGTGTTTGTTTGTTTGAGGTCCAAGCTCAGTACCTCAGTTTATTCTTCCCTCCTTCCAAAAAATGTAATTTACTCTACTGCCTGGTGCTGTGATAATGCATGTTGAATTGGGTCGCTATGAGTCAGTCTGACTTGAGGGCACATGACAACAACAACAACATATGTAGGGTTAAAATCTTATTTGGGAATGGGTTGTCTTTGTTATGTCAATGAGACAGGATTAGGGTAGGGTGTATCTTGAGTCAATCTCTTAAAAAAAAAATATTAAAGAGATTAAACAAGCAATCGAAACAGAGAGGGGGAAGAAAGATGCCAAGGCACATGAAGACTGCCCAGGAGCAGAAGCTGAAAGAGAAAGAACCTCCCTCCAAAACTGACAGAGAGAAAGCCTTCCTCTAGAAGCCAGTACCCTGAAATCAGACTTCTAGCCTCCTAAACTGTGAGAAAAGAAATTTGTTTGTTAAAGCCACCATTTATGGTATTTCTATTACAACAGTACTAGATAACTAAGATATTAATGATGGATAAAAAGAATGAAAATTTATAATCAAACTGAATTCAGAAAGTTCCATATGGAATTTTACCAGTATTTCACATATGTCTTTACATACAGAAATCTTATTATAATACTAGTACAATGTCCTGTTTATTACTTACCCTCTTATTTCTACTTGAGCTACAGCAGTGATATTGATTTGCAGGCTCACAAAATTGCTGTCTGGATTGTCCTTGTTGGAACTAAAACACAATGACATATGATTTAACTATATTTTTAAGATGCATTACCATCAAGAACATTCTATACATCCCCAAAGCAACACATGTTCCCAACCTAATCTTTCAGAAAACAATGGTATATTCAAGCTACAAAACCATATCCATTTGCAATGGAAAGGCAAAAATCTTTAATGATCAAAAGTAATGTCATAACTTTCCATAACCAAAAAACCAAGTCAAACTCACAGCCACTGAGTGTATTCTGACTCATAGTGACCCCCCTTTCAGTTTCTGAGGTGGTAAATCTTTATGAAAGTAGATTGCTCAGGCTTCCTTACATGGAGTGGGTGGAGGGCTTGAGTTGCCAGCCTTCTGGTTAGCAGTCAAATGCTGCGTTAGGCACACTACCAGAGCTCCTAACTTTCCATAAAGAGACACCTTTTAAAATAATGTTGTTGTTGTTGTTATGTGCCATCAAGTCAGACCCGACTCACAGAGACCCCTCCTTGGGTTTCCGAGGCAGTATCACTATGAAAGTAGATTGCCCCATCTTCCTTCTGAGGAGTGGCTGAGGCGTTTGAACCACCAGCCTTCTGGTTAGCAGTCAAGTGCCTTAGGCACTATGCTAAAATAATAGATATGTAGAAAAGCTAACACTTTAGCTTTTGTTTGTTTGGTTGGCTTTATGGCTAAACCAAAAAGGCACTGAACTGAGTTCGTTTTCCAGCTCCTATCCTGGACAAATTCCTTAATTCTCTGTGCATCATGTTCACTGCCCATCAAATGAGAAAGGACAGCACAGTCAACTCCTGATTTTCCATGCCAATAAAGAGGAGAACTGGTATTAATAATCCAGAGTAGCACATAATTGAAAAAGCATTGGCTCTGGAATGCATCATACCATACATTGCTTTGGTATGAAATGTATCTTCCTTTCAGTTATTTCATAAATTAATATTAAAATAAGTATACATTCACTGTATGCTTACCGGATGACTAGGACAGGGGTTGGGGAGTGAATTAGAAGTGTGGCCAATGATAAGAAGGAGCAAGACCTAAGGAAGTTGGATAGTCCATACACAGGCAATTAGGAGATGACATAGCTGTTTTTTGAAGTACTTCAAGAGTCTCGGGATGGAAGGTGTGTGTTTAATATTTCTTTGGATGGTGGTAAAATTATTCTTAAGTGTGCTATTTTTTCTTGCAAATGAATAGAATTTGATGTCCAATTTAACTTAAAAAAAATCCATGTGTTAAGCAGTCAGTGTTGTAAGGGAAATAAAACATGCCTCAAAAGAGGCTCAAGCATTAACTAAACTTTAGATGTGGTTGCCATTTGCATTTAGTGTCTTCACCAAAAACAAACAAACAAACAAACTCACTGCCATTGAGTCAATTCTGACTCATAGAGACCCCCACTGGATTTCCAAGGCAGTAAATCTTTATGGACGTGGACTGCCCCATCTTTCTTCAGTGGAGTGGCTTGTGGGTTCCAACCACCAATCTTTTGGTTAGTAGCCAAATGCCTTGACCACTATACCACCAGAGATCCTTTTACTATCCTACCATGCTTTAACTAAAGTCACCTTACATCCCAAAAGATTAAGGTACTTCCAGCAAATGTAGACATGGCCACACCACAAGGCTAACAGGTCATGTTTATATTCAAGGCTCATTAAGAAGAGAAAGAAAGACTGTTTTTTCATCATCTAGTCTCACACTGATTCAATGGATGATCGTAATGGGAAATATGTTGTGATTAGCTTTTGAAGCCTTCCAAATGTGGGAGCTAGAAAGGATATGATAACATCCTGCTTTCAAAGGAGGAGGAGACTGAATTGTTTTCATAATGCTTTTTAAAAGTACTGGTAGATTATATATATTGATAAGACAACTTCCACCACAAACACACATAAAAGATATAAACACGCAAATGTCAGGCTCATTTCCTGTAATAGGGTATCGCTGGTAAGCTTGTGACTTAGCCTAGAGGGACTTGTTCATCGAAGTTTGAATCCCTATTTCCAGGCTAGTTTATTACTATCACATATGTGGAGGATCAGTCAACTAAAGAAGATTTTTTTTTTTTTTTAAAGGCAAGATCTTGAATTACTCTTCTTGTTGTTGTTAGGTGCCGTCGAGTCATTTCTGACTCACAGTGACCCTATGCACAGCGGAACGAAACACCGCCCAATCCACATCAGCTCCATGATCCCTGCTATACTTGAGCCCATTGCCGCAGCCACCATGTCAATCCATCTCATTGAAGGCTTTCCCCTCTTTCGTCGACCCTCCACCTTACCAAGCATGACATCCTTCTCCAGGGAATGGTCCCTTTTAACAACATGACCAAAGTAGGTGAGACGAAGTCTGGCCATTCTCACTTCCAAGGAGCATTTCGGCTGCACTTCCTCCAAGACAGATCTGTTAGTTCTTTTGGCAGTCCATGGTACTTTCAGTATTCTTCGCCAGCACCACAACTCAAAAACATCAACTCTTCTTTGGTCTTCCTTATTCATTGTCCAGCACTTACATGCATATGAGGTGACTGAAAATATCATGGCTTGTGTCAGGTGCACTTTAGTCCTCAAGGAGGTATCTTTGCTCCTCAGCACTTGAAAGAGGTCCCTTGCAGCCAACTTGCCCAGTGCTATACGTTGTCTAATGTCCTAACTGCTGCTTCCATTGGCGTCAACTGTAGAACCAAGCAATGTGAATTCTTTGACAACCTCAGTCTTTTCTGTTTATTGTGATGCTGCTTATAGGTCCAGTTGTGAGGATTTTTGTTTTCTTTTTATTGAGATGTAATTCATATGGCAGACTGTATTCTTCAATCTTTATCAGTAAGTGCCTCAAGTCATCTTTACTTTCAGCAAGTAAAGTTGTGTTGTCAATGTATCGCAAGTTGTTAATATTTCTTCTTTCAATCCTGATGCCACGTTTTTCTTCATATAGTCCAGCTTCTTGGATTATTTGCTCAGCATATAGATTGAATAAGTATGGGGAAGGGGTACAATCCTGACCCACTCCCTTCTTGATTTTAAACCATGCAATGTTCCCTTGTTCTGTTTGAATGACAGCCTCCTGATCAATGTACAGGTTCCTCTGAGTACAATTAAGTGTTCGTGGATTCCCATTCTTCTCAATGTTATCCACAATTTGTTATGATCCACAAAATCAAATGCCTTTGCATAGTCGATAAAACACAATTAAACATTTTTCTGGTATTCTTTGCCTTGAGCCAAGATCTGACAGCAGCTATGACATACCTTGTTCCACGTCCTCTTCTGAATCCAGCTTGCACCTCTGGAAGTTCTCTGTCAATATACTGCTGCAATCATTTTTGAATTATCTTCAGTAAGATCTTACTTGTATGTGATATTAATGATATTGTTTGATAATATCCACATTCTGTGGGATCACCTTTCTTTGGAATGGGTACAAATATGGATCTCTTCCAGACAGTCGGCCAGGTAGCTCTCTTCCAAATCTCTTGGCATAACTGAATGTCTCCAGTAGGAGATCCTTTTGTTGAAATATCTCAATGGGTATTCCATCAATTCCTGAAGCCTTGTTCTTCACCAATTCCTTCATTGCAACTTCAACTTTCTCCTTCAGTACTATTGGTTCTAGATCATATGCCACCTTCTGAAATGGATGAAGATCTACCAGTTCTTTTTGGTACAGTGACTCTGTGTATTCCTTCCATCTTCTTTTGATGCTTCCTGCATCATTCAATATTTTGCCTATAGAATCTTTTAATATTGCAACTCGAGGCTTAATTTTTTTGTCAGTTCTTTCAGCTTGAGAAATGCCAAGGATGTTCTTCCCTTTTGGTTTTCTAACTCCAAGTCTTTGCACATTTCATTATAGTAATTGGCTTTATCTGCTTGAGCTGCTATTTGAAATCTTCTGTTCAGCTCTTTTATCTTGTCATTTCTTCCACTTGCTTTAGCTACTACTCTCCACTCAATGGCAAGTTTAAGAATCTCTTCTGTTATCCATTTTGGTCTTCTTTTCTCATCTTTTCAGTGACCTCTTGCTTTCTTCATGTATGATGTTCTTGATGTCATCCCATAATTCTTCTGGTTTTGGGTCCCTGGTGTTCAATGCATCAAATCTATTCTTTAGATGGTCTCTAAATTCAGGAGGGATATATTTGAGATCATATATTGGCTCTCATGGACTTCTTTTAATTGTCTGTAACTTAAAGTTGAAATTGGATATAAGCAGTTGATGATCCATTCCACAATCAGCTCCTGGTCTGGTTTTGGTTGAAGATACTGAGTTTTCCATTGCCTCTTGCCATAGATGTAGTCAATCTGATTCCTGTGTGTTCCATCTGGTGAAGTCCACGTGTATAGCCGCTGTTTGTGTTGTCAAAAAAAGGTATTTGCAATGAATAAGTCGTTGGTCTTGCAAAATTCTACCCGACGATTTCCAGCATTATTTCTGTCACCAAGGCCAAAATTTCCAACTACCAGTGATTCTTCTTTCTTTCTAACTTTTGCATTCCAGTCACCAGTGATAATTAACACATTCTGATTGATGTTCGGTCAATTCCAGACTGCAAAAATTGATAAAAATCTTCAATTTCTTCATCTTTGGCTTTGGTGGTTGGTGCATAAATTTGAGTAGTAGTCATATTAATTGGTCTTCCTTGTAGGTGTATGGATATTTTCCTATCACTGACAGTGTTGTACTTCAGGACAGATTTTGAAACATCCTTCGTGATGATGAATGCCATGCCATTCCTCTTCAAATTGTCATTGTTGGCAGAGTAGATCATATGACTATCTGATTCAAAATGGCCCAAACCAGTCCATTTCAGCTCACTAATGCCTAGGATACTGATCTTTATGTGTTCCATTTCATTTTTAACAACTTCTAATTTTCCTACATTCATACTTCACATATTCCATGTCCCAATTATTAATGGACATTTGCATCTGTTTCTCCTCAATTTAAGTTGTGTCATGTCAGAAAATGGAGGTCTCAAAAGCTTTACCTTATCCATATCA